CTGATAGATGATGGAAAGCGGCTCGGCTGTCACCTTCACCAGTTCCCTCAGCACTCTCGGGTGGATCTCATCTGGCCCCATGGACTTGTGACAGTCCAGTTGGAGTAGCTGGTCTCTGACTGTTTCCTTCTGAATCTTGGGTGGTTTAGTCTGCTCCCCAGCCGAGACTACCAGGTCAAAAAGTGGAGTACCCTGAGGATAACTGGTCTGACCTTTAAAGACAGACGTAAAGAAGGCATTTAGGACCTCTGCCTTTTCCTTATCGTCAGTAGTCACATTCCCAGCCTCATCCAGTAAAGAATGGAGATTCTCCTTAGTCCTCCTCTTACTGTCGAGTCCTCCTCTTACTGTCGAAACATCAAGCCCAACTCCCAGATCCACACAGAACTACCCAACATTCAAACTATATTTCTGAGAACTTCCAAACAGCAAGATATTAACACTGATTATGAGTAAGGACATCAGTTTCTAAGGTATGTGGCTTTAGTTTCCCTTGACTGAACTTTTAAGCACTCAAAGCTCTTGTAACCCCTGAAGCCACTGGAGCAACTACCCAGCAAATGAGGGATACAGAATTGGCAGCTTCCTATAACCAGTGTACTTGAAGTAATGCACGTATGGTACTACAAAGAAAAGAAAGGTGGTGAATACAAATCCAGTTTTCCTGCGTAGTGCTTATACAATGAGACCTCTCATTTCCCTTATAGAAAATTTTGCTCCCTCTACTTTCTTTCAATCAAATAACATTACAAAAGCTTCAGTGAGAGCCTTGAAGGGAAGAAGACGAGAGCTCATAGTGACCATATCAGAACTCTTACATATATCTTGACAGATACAATGCCTGGCAGTTCTGGCCAACACGTATATTAACACTAAATATCTGAAGTTGCTTAATTACCCTGCATCAGTATATCGCTATTATGCTTCATTACAATCCTTACCAAATCATATACCTCTACACAGAACAAATAAGCCACCAGCAGATAACGATTCTCCTGTTTTGGATGATAAAGATCATAAAGCATGGCATTTAAACTATCTATTAATCTATCATGCCCCTCCAGTTCTGTATTTCACCTGAAAAAGTAGCTCTGATCATCACAAGGATGAGGCAGAAAAAGGATTCAGTACTGATGATTGAGCTGAACAAGTAGTCTTGTTTGAAAGTTTGCTTCTCATAAAGACATTTAAAGTTAACTAGTGAAGGCTACCAGCCAAACATTTACTACCTGAAGACTTCAGATGCCCTCTATCACTTAGGTGTTTCAGGCGTATGCCTTTGGGGAATAAAATTCCCATCGTCCGTGCGTCTCACCATTTGACTCTTCCATCTCAAAGTTCACCCTGCCACCCACTACCAGACATCATATTCCCTGCAGGCTCCTTGTTCTGTCTCTAGGGGATGCTTGCAGTCCAATAGGCTGGCAAAGGACAGAACATAAAAAAACAAAATATCAATTTTATCAAAAATAAAAATATTAAAAAAAAGGAGGTGTGTGACATAAGAATGATGCAGCCAGAAACTAAAGCTAGACCACAGGGCACTCTGTAAATCATAGAATCATTTAGATTGGAAATGACCTTTAAGATCATCATGCCAACCATCATCTAATACTACCACGTCCACCATTAAGCCACGTCCCCATGCAGCACATACACACAGCCCTTAAAATACCTCCAGGAATGGTAACTCCTCCACTTCCCTAGGCAAGCTGTTCCATGCCTGACCATTCTTTCTGTCAAAAAATTCTCCCACGTACTCACTCTAAACCTCCCATGGCACAAGTTGAGGCTGTTTCCTCACTTCCTATCAGTTGTTACTACAAACTTCTCTCAGGTAGCTCTGGAGAGTGATAAAATCTCCCTTGAACCTCCTCTTTTCCAGACTTAACCACCCCAGTTCCCTAATGCTGCAGAACAATTCTCTCTCCCCTTGCTGAATCAGGAATTTAGAATTTAATTTAATCCTCACTTTCCTTCCCACCACCATTTCCAGAATTTTCATACCTGTAAAGGTTCTACTCTGCAGTAACAAACCAAAACACGCAAAAGATATTGGGGAGTGGGGAGGAGGGGGTGTAAATAAATAAAAAAAATCAAACTTCTACCTTATTAGGGGGAGGGGAGTGACGACAGACTGACATCAATAAAAATAAACGCAAAATGCATTATTTAGGTACAGGTCTCTAGCACTGACTTAAAATCTTGTTGCCATTACTACGAAAACCTAATTCCTGCAAACTAGTCTCCAAAAGTCTTTTAAAAATGCCATTCTTTCATCCTAACTTTAAGCAAAGAAAAGTTATCCTTATGCTATCTCACAGAAAGCATTGCTATTAGCTAGTTTTCATGAAGTTACTGTTTTCAGAAGAGCTGTTAAGTAGCCCACTACGTTAAAATGTGTTTCAGATCGATGTCAAGAACTAAGCCAACTCTCCCATGTAATCTGAAGTGGAATGGAGGACTCAAATCCTTAAACTGGTGTCTTTCACAACAGCCTATGAAACAGATTTATTTTTTTCCCAAAAGAACCAATCTTCTATACAAGGAGCGATACAGTACTACACTTAAGCAATAAAGAAGAGGTAAATCAAGTTCCCAGCAAACACACAATTTCAATGAGGCAAGACTTCATACCAAACAACACTAAAAAAAGAAAATCCCCTGTAGCATTAAAGGCTTTGCATTACTTAGTTCGTAAGTTAACAAACCTGTTTAAAACTTCTTTACAAAAAAAAAAAAAACCCAACTTCCTAAGTTCCTAGTGTAGCTCAAAAACAAGAGCCTTCCCAGGGAGAAACCATTTAAAGAGTAATAAAGTAAAGCTTCAAATAAACTATCTTTAGAATAGTTCACCAATAGCTCTGTTGATGGTCTACAGAAGTTTACACACAGAGAGAACAGGCATTTCAAAGCAACAGGCATCATGCAATTCTTTCCTATCCAGAATCTATTCCAGAAGTCTGCAAGGCACAACTGAATAGAACGCTATCACTGACCTGCAAAAACTGTTCAAATATTTCCAATCTTAAGTACTCCAAAGATAACAACTACACAATTTCAGTATTGATCCCTTTGATCTTGTATATAAATCGGTTAAGCAGCACAAGCAGGTTTGTGCAGCAAGGCACCGGATGCCAAACTAGAGCCTCCCTGAAAAGAGCACGGTAAGGAGCCGAGCACTGCACGCTATGAAAAAGCAGAACTCAATCATGCACAGACGGTATTCTAGATTAGCAAAACACAACAGCAGGCAAATCGCTTCAGAACGCTTAGATCCACCTGAATTTCCATACCTGATCCCTCCGGCTGAAACTGCAACAAAGATTTCTAAGAGAAGCAACTTGCATGGAAACCGGGAGGCAGAGACAGCTCCTGCAAGGGCTGCGGAGGCAGACCCAGCTGACCTGCAGCAGCCAATCCCCGACGCCCTGACAGCACAAGCCACATCAGCACTGCAAGAACAGAACAACCACTGGCTGATGTAACTTCAGCGACTTCAGCAGACTCCATCCCTCCAGACACGCACACACCTTCCCAGCCTGCTGTCCCAGCAGATGATGTAATTCTACTCCACGTTGCAGCACAAAATCCAGCATTAATGACTGTTTTCTGTCTAGTCCCAGACTAGTCCAGACAGCCCTACCCACAGTACAGGCTGCCTGGCCATCTCTCCCACCAGCTTTCCCTGACCTGAATTCTCCCCATTCTCAGATGTTTGCTGTCTGATGCAGGCAGGAGACTAAAGGATCTTCGTAGCCCAGCTTTTGAGAGTGGCTTCATCTCCCTAAGCCTTCTGACTCCTTTGTTTTCTCCACTGCATCCCAAACCTTTCTGCTAGGGCAGGACTGCTGCTGGCTTTAGATGCTCCCTTGCCTGCCATATACCACTTGCAGTCATTTCTGAATTAAAGAGAAAGCGCTCATTGCTGAATTCAGTAAAAGGCATAAAAACACTACAGCTTTTTGTCTTTACATGCATTATAAAATTAACCATAGGTCCCCACTTAAATTCAGATGCTGGCTATAGTGCTTCCTCTCTGTATTTTACTATTGTTGTATGCTCATTTTTGTACTGCAGTAAACAAATTCCACCAGCACTTGTTCTCATGTTGCTAAAGGACACCAGCTGGCGGGAGGGGGTTGTTTAGTTTCATTTGTTTAAATGGTAGATGCTTCACTATCTAAGATCAGGAAACAATCTCATCTGAAAGTTTCAAATCCATAGAGGAAACCTCACAAAGAGTAAACAATATTCAAGGGGTGGACAGACTTACAAAACCTTCCACATCCCAATAATTTATAGAAGACCCAATCTACAGTTATTTGTCAAAGGTTTTGTTGTCCCCACAAAAGAGAAAACAAACTGATGCTTCCCTTCCCCAAAAATGCAGATATAAAGACACCGCTTTGTTAGAAGACTATCTGAAGACTTCCACTTTGCCAACGGTAGCATTTGTCTCCATTACAGCACTTACGCTCTGCATCCTCACCTCTTCACCCCATTATTAGGATTATTATTAACAACAGCGATTAAAGAAGCCAATGTAGCTTAACACACAAGCAAAAAGAGCTGCTAAGTCTTCCCTTTTGATTTTTAAACACATAACAAAAAACAAGCCCTATTTCTGATTGAGCTAGACAGCTTTTAGAACATGTAACTCCTCTGATCTATGCTTGCAAATAAAAAGGGGTTGAGGAGCTAAATCAGCACTTTTGTTTCCCAAATAAAACTTTCAGCTCTTACACAAGGATGCTTGTTAGCATCAAGGAGCCAAGACTTCTTGCCTGAACAGTAGTAGTTTACCTCAGTGTACAGCAAGCATGTTAGGACACCAGCAGTGGAAAAACTGTGGTTTCAGAGAGTTAAAGGTAGTGAATACCCTGATAAATCTCAAGAAGAGTTCCATCTTCAAGAAAAAAGCACAAGAAACACACCAACATCATTAACAACACACGGAGGTGAACATGCTACACTCCACTTGCAGTCCTAATTACAGGATTATCTCTATCCAAAGACTTCACTTTTTCCTCTAATAAAAAAAAATCACCACCACCAAAAATAAACAACCAGTCAGACAAAAGCTTTTTAGCTGTTTAGCTTGGAGAAGGCTCTGGAGAGACCTCACTGGGGCCTTCCAGTACTTGGAAGGAGCTTACAGGTATCAGAGAATCATGGAATTGCCAGGGATGGAAAGGGACCTCAAGGATCATGAATTTCCAATGCCCCCCGCCACAGGCAGGGCCACCAACCTCCATATTCAATACCAGACCAGGCTGCCCAGGGCCCCATCCAATCTGGCCTTGAACACCTCCAGGGATGGGGCATCCACAACCTCTCCAGGAAGATGTTCCAGCACCTCACCACTCTCTGTAAAGAATTTCCCCCTGACATCCAACCTAAATATTCCCTCCCTCAACTTAAAACCATTTCCCCTCGTCCTGTAGTTATCAAGCCTTTCAAAGAGTTGATTCCCCTCCTCTTTGTAGGCTCCCTTTAGGTACTGAAACTGAACAAGCCCAGCTCCCTCAGCCTGTCCTCATAGGGGAGGTGCTCCAGTCCCCTGATCACCTTCATGGCTCTCCTCTGGACCCTCTCCAACAGGTGTCTGTCTTTCTTGTACTGGGGGCTCCAGACTGGACACAGTACTGTAGATGGGGCCTCGTGAGGGCAGAGTAGAGGGGGACAATCACCTCCCTGTCCCTGCTGGCCACCCCTCTTCTGATGGAGTCCAGAATGCCATTTGCTTTCCAAACTGCAAGAGCACACTGCTGGCTCATGCTAAGTTTTTCATCCATCAGGGCCCCCAGGTCCTTCTCTGCCGGGCTGCTCTCAAGGATTGCTCTGTAACAAGTCTGCATAAAACCTTGCCTTTTGCTGTGTTGAACCTCATTAGGTTCACCCAGGCCCACCTCTCAAGTCTGCTAAGGTCCCTCTGAATGGCATCCCTTCCTTCCACTGTGTCAACCAAACCACAACACTCAGCTTGGTGTCGTCAGAGAACTTGCTGAGGGTGCACTCAATTCTGTCATCAATGTAATTGATAAAGATGTTAAAGAGCACTGGTCACAAGACAGACCCCTGGTGGACACTGCTTGTTACCAGCCTCCACCTGGACACAGAACCATTAATCACCACCCTCTGTCTGCAGCCTCTCAACCAATTCCTTATCCATCAGATGGTCCACCCATTGAATCCACAATCCTCCAACTTGGAGATAAGGATGTGGTGGGAGACCACGTCAACGGCCTTGCTCAAGTCCAGGTAAATGACATTGGTCACCTTCCCTTTGTCCACCGATGCCATCACTCCATCATAGAACCCCACCAGATTTGTTAGGTTTTCTCTGGTAAAGCTGTGCTGGCTGTCTCGGATCACACACTCATTCCTCATGTGATCAAGCATGTTGTCCAGGAGGATCTGTTCCATGATCTTCCCAAGTACAGAGGTGAGACTCACCAGCCTGTGGTTCCCCAGGTTGCTTGGGAGCCTGGTCAGCCTGATCTACTGGCTGGCAAACCTGCCATGGACAGGGCACTGGAACTAGAGAATCTTTAAGACCCCCCCCCAACCTAAGCAATTCCATGATTCTATGAACAAAATTGCTAAGCAAGAAATGTGAGAAAACAGCTTAATTAAGCATAATCATCAGTGGTTGAGTTGGCATCTTTCCAGCATTTCCTTCTTCCAGAAATCATTACTCTCTTCTGGCCTGGATCAAATCTGAATCAAATGATTTCCTCTAAAACCTTTACCAAGCAGTAAAACATCCATCAGCTATTAAGGATAAAGAGATGATAGAAATATCTCAGTCTTGTATCAGTTTTTCTATGACAATCAAACCAAGGTGTACGAGCATTACAATTCATTCACGGAAAGAAACAGAGGCTGAATAAAATTTTTATAATAGCTATGGCTAGAACAGTAACACTGATATCACTAAGAGTTAAGATGCAAATCATGTACCTGGACACACGCTCATGTTCAGAAGTAAAAATGCAGCTAAAGAAACGTAAGGATAGAAAGAAAAACTTGAAACATGTGAACTGAAATCAGTAGTTTTGTTCAATATTTCAGGAGAAAAACATTTACATTTAGTACCATGCACTTCAGCCTCTTACAGCTCCTCCAGTATGTCTTATTAAAGCTTTAGATGCACTTTTTCACCATCCCAAATTTTTTCAAAACCTCCTCCATATCCAAGCCCCCACTGTGGAATGAACCTCTTCTACTGTCTTATAGTCTTACAGTAATCTGTAAGCCAGCTGGCTGCAGCCTCTTGCACAGAAAGACAGTGGAAATTCACCAACAGTAAGATTTGCTCGTGCCCTGTCATTTCTCCAAGAGGACCATCACTCAAAATAGCATTTATTATCTTGACTCCATGGAGTATTCAGCTCTGTATTCCATTTTAGTTCCCTGTTTTTAAGACATTTGCCCTTACCTACCTCTCCTTTTTTGTTCTGTCCTCAGAACGTCATGTTTTTCTCTTCTTTTGTTGCTGAGGAGATTAAAGAAGGCATTCCTTTTCCATCAAAGGTAAGTTGATACCCAATCCTAATAGAGAAATTAAAAAAAAAATTAAATCAGTACAACAGCAGTTTGTGTCCAACTCCCAAATTCAGTACATGACTACAATAAGAAAACAAAACTCCTTGAACACTCCTCTGGTCTCTAGCTTTACATGACTGTGGTGCCATTCACCTTCTCCACAGCACCTGTAGCACTGCAGACTTCCAGTGCACACATCTTCTCATTCCTCCCTATGGCTGCAGAGCTCAAGCGGCACATAAACAGCACTAGCACCAGAAGCAGCAGTTTTGCCAGCCCTATTGCCTCCTGTGTAAGCAATCTGTGTAAGTTTTGGTCACCAAGATTTCTTTATCTATAACTCTATCACCCCTTTTAGAGAGCTATCAGATTTCTTCTCATACAAAAAGAAAGCAAACAAACAAAAAACCCAGACCCTACTGTATCTTGTGAGATGAAACAGCATACAACAGACACAGGCTTATTACCAGGAGTAAAGGCAAAGCCTGGGTATCTCACGCAGGTGTCAGGAGGGTTTACGTGTTTTCTTTAGGCTCAGAGAAATTTTCATGATAGGTCCAAGAGATGTACAGAGAAAAAGGCAGGCCAAAGATGCACAGCAGCCCTGTTTCTCCAGAACTCCCAACGAATGAAGCCAATGTAGTTCTCCATTTACTGCTCGCAAAGGCCCAAGGAGCAATTCCACTCTGTCGTTGGCTCTATATAATAGTATTGCTCTACGGCCACCAAAAAAGCCCGAAATAAAGCCTACATGACTCAAGACAACTTGACAAGGCCGTTAGGATGAGCGCCCGGACGCCTGCAGCGCGGCGCACGCTGTGCGCACGGTACCCGTGTCGTCGCAAGGCTCAGCTCACTCGTTTTCAAGGAGGCTTCGTTCGGGCCCGACCGAACCACAGAAGGAGAACCGGACGGAGACCGCCGGCGGTCAGCACAACGCAGCGCCGGCCGCACCGCGCGCTCGGCGACGCGCGGCCACGACCAAACCCCCTCGCGTCCGCCACCTCCCGCCGCAGCCCGGCGGCCAGCTTCCGCAGCGCCGCACCCAGACGCGCCTCACGGCCGCAGCCCGCAGCTCTCGGCCCGCTCGGCAGCCCCCCACCCTCCGCCGCTCAGCTCCCGGCAGCGCGACGCACGCGTCTCCATGCCGGCCCCGGCCCGCCCCTCCGCGCCCACCTGGCCGGGCTCCCTCCGGCGATCCTCCGGCAGAAGAGGCGCTCGGGCGGGCGAGCGCTCCGCGGGGCGACCCGCGGCGGAAGGAGCGTTCCGGTACAAATGGGAGCGACCCCGGCGGCACGACGCCAACCGAGCGCGACCGGAGAGGGAGGCGGCGGCGGCAGGAAGCGGCGGCTCCCCTTCCGCAGAGCGCGGCGGCGCGCCGCAGTCACACAGCGCCTGACCGAGCGCCCGGGACGCTCACAGCTCCGCCCGGCGGAACGGACCGCCTCCAATTCCATCTCTGACTTGCTGGGTAAAAGTCGATGAAGTATTCAACTGGGCTGCGAGCGCACACCGCTGGCTCACGAAGGCCAACTGTATCCTGGGCTGCATCAAGAGAAGTGTGACGGCAGGGCGAGGGAGGAGATTCTGCCGCTCTGCTCTCGTGAGACCCCACCTGCAGCACCGCGTCCAGTTCTGGGCCCCCAGCACAGGAAGGACGTGGAGCTGTTGGAGCGGGTCCAGAGGAGGACCACGGAGATGATCAGAGGGCTGGAGCACCTCCCTGCAAGGCCAGGCTGAGAGAGCTGGGCTCTGCAGGCTGGAGAAGAGAAGGCAGCAGGGAGACCTTCCAGCAGCCTTCCAGTAGCTGAAGGGCCTCAGGAAAACTGGGGAGGGACTTCTGGTAAGGGGCAGGTAGGGACAGGACAAGGGGAAGTGGCTTTAAACTGGAAGAGGGTAGATTTTAAACAAGACATCATGAAGAAATTCAGTATTGTGAAGGTGGTGAGACACTGGAACAGGTCGACCAGGGAGACTGGATGTTCCCTCCCTGGGAGCATTCTAGGCTAGGCTGGATGGGGCTGTGAGCAACTTGTTCTAGGAGGAGGTGTCCCTGCCTACAGCAAGGGGGGTGAAACTAGATGATCTCAAAGGCTCCTTCCAACACAAACCATTCTATGATCCAACATACATGTCTTAACTTCAGTCCTCTCGATACATTCCTGGTTTAGAAAGCACTCAGTTTCTGGGAGCAAGTTCATTTTAACTTCCTTCTTCCTGCTCCTCATTCTTGCAACATCTCTCAACTACCCCATCCTTTAAGAATTTCACTTCAAGGAGGTTTAAAGATTGTGTATATGGAGAACAGGAGAATGAGAGGACACAGGACAGAAACTAATCAAGTGCATTAATCCATCAACAGAAGGCACTTAAGATATGATAGACAGTATAAGAATCTGATGAAAACAGTTTATGATCTGTATCACACCACAAATGTACTTAAAGTTCAGTAAGTGAACTTTAGTTATACAGGTCCCATCTATTTGACTCTCTTCAAAAGCAGAGAATACTAGACAATATTATAATCACAACAAAAAAGGCAGTCAAATCATCTCTGTAACTTCTTTCAATATTCAGTACCATCTTGAATGGAAAAAAAAAGTCAAATGGGAGTTTCCAGTGTACTTTCGGCAGGCCACGTGGAGGTTCTGGCCATTCTGTCATGTCAGTGAAGGTAACAACAGTTGTCAAAGGCACCAAGCTCGTGCTTAGGGACTGTAACAAAACGGAAAGTAGAAAGAATTCAGCATGCCTCATGCAAAACATGCATCTCCCAGGTAAGTTCTGTAATGGACTCTTGAAACAGCTTGTGCGCTCCACAAGCTTTTAAGGGACAAGACATAAAGCTACTGAACTTTTATAACTCCTACTTTACACTGAGCTTAAATTAAGGTTTTGACTCTTTAATATGAAGTGGTTTGTGATTGAAAAGAAAGTACCTTTCCTAGCTGTACAAATGACTGAGAACATTAATCAGCAAAGCCATAAAACCAACTTCCTCTACAGATCAGTTAAATACAAACTCTTGTTACTGTAGCCAAACCACTTCTAAAACTTGGTAGATCAACTCCTCAATATCAAAACCACTTGATACCTTGGTTCTTAAATAATCTGTGAATCCCATTTCATACTAGTGTATGATAGAAGGATTTGAAATCCCATACCTTTAGGGGTTGACACTGATAAAAGTACCGTACACCCAATATTTGAGCTTGTGGCTTGGACAGGAGACCCATCTTAGTCCACAATATCTGTACATCCAGGGTCACAGGAATCATGCAACAGGAACTGCAATTCTTAGTCTGAAAATAAAATGTAACCCAAACATTTCAATACAGTAATTTAAATGTTAAAAAGGACCATTATGATCAAAACCCAATACTTCAGGTAGCAAAGGTCTCAGTGATTGAGATTCTTATTTCAGGACTAACCCCATAACTTCTTGTCAGGTCAGCTGCCCATTTTAGAGCTGTATCCATCTCACTGTCATCTAATTTCCAGACAATTTATCTCTATCACCTGGATTTTGCCTTACATGATAATAGATGAATAATTATTAAAACAAAATTTGCCTCCCCAGCAAGCACTTGGATTGCAAGCTCTTAGCTTTAGTGTGGCAATATATAATATCACTAGAAACAACAACAACAAAAAAAAATCAGAAAAGATGGTAATGTAAGTATCAAATTAATGGGAGTAAACTGATTGTATTAATCTTACAACACAATCAGAAAACTAACTAGCACAGCACGAGATTAAGCATTAAACTCTTCTTGGCTATTTAAATACCATTACAAGGAACCAAGAGAGATTACATCTATCAGTTTTTTGTTGTTGTTTAGTAAATATCCTAACAATATGAACACTAATAAATATGAGTGTTTATGAGTATTAAGACTCCTGAAAGCCAGTGGATTACCACACAAATAAAACTAGTCTTGATGAACAAGCTGGTTCATTTTTTTTATTTTTTAACATTACTCACACATCTCAAACTAAAACAAAGACATGAAAAAGATATTCAGATTGTCTTCCTGCATTTATATTACCTGTACACTGCAGTTCTGGATCAGAATGGCCAACCACTCTTCTTCTTGGGTTGAACGAGCACTACCAATTATAGCAAGATCCCCTGCTTGGTTCATCCCCTGAAAAGCCTTATATAACTTCAGCTGGATGTAACTGCAATTACTTTCTTCCATTTGAGTTAGCCTATAACGAGAAAAAAAGTAACAGCTTTATCTAAAGGGCTTTCCAAGACAGAAGCACATGGCATCAACAGCCTTCCTCAGCAACAAGTATTTCTTCTGTTCTTCTGATGAGTCAACGTTCAATCCTTTCTGCAAAGAAAAGGGTGAAGAACATGACAAGATAACACGAAGAATACTGACAGCTTTTTAGCCATCTTACCACCTCAGTGATGGTATACCTGACTTTTCACCAACAAAATAACAAACCAAATTAGAATAATCATTTTTTAAGGTTCTATTATAAACCACTTCTCAAATATAAACTTTATTCTTCTCTGCAACATGCTGCCAGACCAAAGCCTGAAGACTTCCTAGAAGATCATCTCTCACGTTCAAACTGTTCTAGAATCTCACCATCCCTCCGATAGTCTTAGGGTTAATGTGAAAGATCTGTATTAAAACCATGGGTGACCTTAAAGATGGACCTTGGCTCCATGGAAATGAGTGAAAACTACAGAAAAAGGTGCTAACTGACTCCATGCCTCCTAGATGTTTCAGGAAGGGTGACCACAGATCGTGTTCTTACCTGAGTTTGCAACCAATTCTCATATTGCTTCCAAATCGTACTGTATGTCTCAGAAACTGTGAGCAACTGCCATCACCTTCGCTCTGCAGAATGCTCATCTAACAATCTGCATGTCAAGAAGCAGATCACAAAGGACACTCAACTTGTATTTAACAATCTTCTTACTGCACATTCTTCCTTTGCACTGTCACAGGTCTACAATTCAGCTCTGACCAAACAGCTTATTGCTGGCTGCAAAGTCTTACTGAAGTATGCCCTCACAGACAAAGGTACAATTTCAGAAGTCCAAGCAACACAGTAACATAAGGCAAGAAACCCAATGACAGATAACCATGACAGCAGAAAGGATACGTGCTGCACTGCACTACCATTTGCAATCAGTAGTGGTGCTCCAGTGATATAACCAGGGTTTCCACTTCTAGGCAGTGTATGAGAAAGCATCCTGGTCTACAAAGAGGCAAAGAAAAGAGACAAAGCAAGAAAGAATGTTACAAAAAGAGAGAAAAACATTAGTATTTATTAGATCTCTTCATCTCAGGAGATTACATTTGCATTCTCAGAAAAGTAGACTTAACTCATTTTTTTGAATGACTGAATATCTGAATATTATATGCTACTAAAGCCTCCGCTGTTTGATTTCAAATAGTCTTTTTTCACCTGACAAGTTAATACGTAGTCCAGAAGGTAAACAAAAACAAAACAAAAAAAACCCCAAACAAACAATCCAAACCGACTGGCTGTCATTATCCTGAAGCGCAGACTCTGCCAGGGCAGTTTTTGAGAGTCAGTTGCTCAGCATTCCTGTCTAAGGAAGCAAATATATAACTCCGGACAATTTTAAAGATGATCTGCAGAACAAACCTTGATTCTGAGAGACACCACCTCTAAACTGTTTTATGCAGACAGACTTTGAGAATCACAGAATCATAGGGGTTGGAAGGGACCTCCAGAGATCATTGAGTCCAACCCCCCTGCCAAAGCA